TAACTACATTTTTGGAGAAGTGTGAAGTTAGTAATAGATTTGAATAATGTTATACCTAGTCAAGGATATTTTCATGCTTCAGGTTCATTCAGGCTCTCTCTGTTCACGTGTGGTTTTTAGCAGTGTTTTTGACGATGGGTGTGTCTGTGCAATTTTTATTCTTGGTTTTCGACTTTTTAGTGGGAGGTAAGTGGAACTCCTCATCCCTAATATTTTTAGATCCTAAAGGCCAAGAGCTCATCTGTTTTCCTGAACCTCCTTAAGTTTTCATCAAAATACCTTAATTATACCTGCTGGGGCTGGCAGGCTTACTGATAACTAAAAATGCTCAGAACTTCCTATTATGAGATCCTTACCTTTAGGTGCTTCTGATGCTCAGAATCACCAGGCTCACATTTTTACTCACTGACCATCTGCCATAGACAGGTTATTTTTTAGATATTAAAAACAATTAACAATTTCTTAGGCTTAGGAAAATATTACTGGATCCCTTTTAAAGGAAAACGGAAAGCCTGTTGTTCTATCCTTTGAGAAGTTTTGGTTTCAGTTGAAATACGAGTTGAAATTTGGGGGTTGCCAGGGCTTTGTCTTTGCCACACGTATGAAAATCCATAGAAATTATAGGCCCTTTTCCACTCTCTGCAATACACATGAACTTTAGGCTTTGATTTCGGCATCTAAAATCCCTGAGCTGCTGCCAAGGGAGAGAACGTGTTCTCTCTGCTCGGGGCTGAGAGAGGAAACGCTTCTGATGTTGCAGCTGTAAAGTCTGCCTGGTCCAGTTCTAGGCAACGTGAATAAATGCCATTTCTTGCTGTATCTTCAGTGATCCTTGTGCTGGGTCCAGGCAGCATGAAGAGAAAACTACTTGACTGAAAAACAGAGGGAGCAAGACTCAAGCATGGAGAGGGAAGGGTCTACTTCTGGACCGGGTGACTGCTGTGAAGAGAGGAACCGTCCTATATCTGGGTGCTTCAGGACATGGTGAGTCAGAAAAGGCTGTAAAATGTAGCACTGGGGCTAGGAGGAGAGGTGGGAGACTGAGACTGAGGGTGAAGAGCCTGGGGAACAGCAGGCCACTGAGATACGAGCCGCAGGAGGGAAGAGAGAAGAATGATATGTCTGGGAAACAGAAGGCTGAGGAAATCTTGTGGGGAATTACAAGTTGAAGCTGATAGAAAAGGAGTGAAACAAAGAGATGGGTTGAGGACCTGAGGCTCAGGGTATGTGCAGATAAAGCAGATCAGATTGGGAGAGCTGGAGGACAAAGCCTAGACCTTGTTGGGTAATGAAACCATGACTGGGCTGAAAAACCTGACAAGCAGAGACTGGGTGGAATAGGTGGGCAGACTGGGACTGGGATCTCTATTGACTGCACGCTGGAAGAATACTTAATTAGAATTGTGTATGTTATTGCTTACTATTCTGTGTGATCCCGTGAAGTATGAGATTTGGACAGTAATATTTTAATACCTACAGTGGCTATTTTTACTGAAAATTTATTAGTTTTTTAAATTCTCCTTGCAAATACTGTTGCTCTTAGAGTTTTTAAGATTCAGATTGTACAGAAAAAGGGATAGGGAAAAAAAATATATATCTCTCTCTCTAAAAGAGCAAAAAATTGTTGTAGTGTGACAAAATATAAAGTTTTGGTCAATGTGTCTTTGCGCCGTCTATTCCTGACTTCACCACTTGCAAATTGAAGCCCCACTGGCAGCATAGAGAAGGGGTAGCTATAAGAAATTTGTTTCCTGAGAAGCAAGAAACTGCTGGAGTATGGTGTCAGACCTTTTGCAACGCGTGTCCCAGCTGAGGCTTTCCCTGCTTTTCTGGTTAAATCAGGCTATAAAAGCAGTGCCCTCTGCTGCCCAGGACAAATAGTGCTGTGCTAAGGGATGCTGACCCCAGTTCACACAAGCATCCTTCAGAGTGCTCTGCTATTTTACACGCCTAGTCTTTCTTTCTAATACACGCATTTGCATGAATCCAAACAAGTCTGATTCCCTCTTGCTGCCGAAGGTGACTATTTGTATTCACCGTTGTACTGCTTTTATTCTTTGAGCTCAGAACAAAGGTAATCAAATGATTTTTAGGTGATCCTCGTTTCGCTGAATTGGAGGTTTCATAACCAGCCTAAAGAAATAGTTTGCTCTGAGCTGGTGGGCCGGTGACCTTGCAATGAGCTTTGCAACATGAAATTTCATGTTGAGTTTCTCTTCCACCGTGTCTAGTGGCCCATAATAAAGACATATCATTTTTAGAGTCTGACTCAGTGGGAAACTGTAGGTAAATAATAGTAATGCTGCTAAAACATCTGTATTGTATTAGAAACGAAGAGAAGTCAACATCCTATTAGCTGGTAATCTACAGTAGACGCTGATTAGTGAATCTCCTTTCTAGGGTTTGAAATGACTAATTTTCTGGTCTCTGTGGGAGCTGCTTTCAGCGGAGGCTGACAGTTGTGGATGGACACCCTGGGTGGTTGTTTTTCTGTGATGGCTTTCTATGATCTCAGTCTGCACAACTGCTGCCACTCTGAAGCTGGAAGGACTGAGCACAGTGGGAAGGAGCAGCTTTTGTTGAGTTCAGTTCCTTCCAGGTCTTTCGCTCTGAAAAACAGAAGTTGTGCTAGAAGCTGGGCACTGAAATGTTCAGGGCAAGTCAGCCGAGTTGTTGGGAAGCAGCTCGTTGTGCCAAGGGTTTGGATCTTTGGACCATGTGGAAGACTGGGAAGGAGCCACGTGATCTTGTGGAAAGCTCTAAAGTTCTTAGGGGGAGCTGGGGATCGCACAGGAGAAAGGTCATGGGGGAAAAAATAATTTGAGAGTAGTTAGGCATAAAAATGCTCTTAAGAATTACATTATGGAGGGCGTACAGCAGATTGTGGAACACCAGCACTAATGTCCAAGGTCATCTTGATTTCAGACATCAATGTTCTGAGATCAGTGAACTACTCTACTATTCTCAGAGCTTTGAAGGACGCATAGATTCAAGTCACCAGTGGGTATGAAGGTGCTGTTCCTTAATCAGTGTGTTAAAGTCCATATCCCATCTGAGTACAGTGCAGATAACGATACCTTTTCCTGAGCCATTTGCTACGTTGCCCAGCTGTGTTTACTTCCTCTCCTAAATTATGGAGCATGGCTGTATGTGAAGTGACATCACTACCTGTGCCTGCCCAGCCTTAGCATTTATAGAGTTGCTGCAGGTCACTGCTGAACGTGGAGAGATGCAGCACTGGTGCCCTGCCTGCTCTCAGGACTGTGGTGGTCCCCACGGACCTTCCCAGTGCTGGTCGGAGGTGCCTGTAACGTCCTTTCTGCAGAACTGCTATCTGCTGCTTTCAGAAGAACTCTTAGCTGACAGTTACCAGTTTTGTTCTTTTGGGGAGGTATTAAATGCATTTCTTGAGACCAGTGATAAATATTTAGGTGCCTTATCTACACAATGGCCTGTTTCCCTGTAGAAGGGGGAGAATAGTGATTATTGCAAATAATGGCAGTATCCTTAGGCTCCTGCAGACTTTTCACAATGCAGATTTCTAGTGGTTCTCTTATAAATTACAGGCAATCTTTTGGAGCAGGGAAGAGGAGGACATGGGCCCAGTTTGAGCTGGAACTCTGGTCTCATTCTCTGCCAAATTTCTCTGCTCAGTTGCAGGAGACGATGCCGCTCAGCAGTGCTGGCTGCTTTCAGCAGCCGCATGACTTAGAACCTGTACTGACCTGTCAAGCTCTGTGCACAGCAGCATCTTTGATAAAACTGACTCCCAGCACAGGCTCATTGTTTCCAGCTCCAGGGAGAATCAGAATTTGCAGGTTTCAGAGCTGCCTAAGTGGCGGTGTCAGGATGTCACAGGCTGACAGTGATGATTATGCCGCAAGGAGAGGAAGACAGATGGGTTTGACATCGCAGCAGACTGTAACTGTCTAGTTTCATATGCTCAGTTCAATGCCAAAGTGCAATCAAATTTTAGCCAGGGCAATTAATTAATTTAAATCCAACTTTACGGTTTGGCTAAAATGCTTTTCACTGGAGTCCTCTTCATAAGGAAAGGTGCCTGGAAAGGCACTATGCATTACAGCAACGCAGCTGGGCTCGCTAATTAGGACCATGCAGTGCAGTATAAGGCGTGCACCTTTAGAGGGCAAGTATTTATCTTGATCTTCTACACCACAAGTAGGGATTATCATACTTACACACAAGAGATAAGGAGCTGAAGAGGGAGTTTGGGAGAATACTTCACTGATATATTAGAAAATGTAAGGCTAGGTAGCTGCTCCTCCCTCTGCCTGGCTGCAGTGGCAAGAGACCAGGGGTGAGGGTAAATTTATGGGATGTATGTGAATTTATGGGCTGTGGTGTCAGGGCCTTTTGCTGGACCTAAATCGTTGAGGGATTTGAACAAAAAAGGGCTTCCTCTGTTTGGCTGAAAGCCTCTGTTGCCTATCAGTTCTTCAAAGCAAACAGCAAATAGAAAGTCAGAATACTTTAGAGAGCATCTTTATAGCTACTTCTTCAGCTATAAAATCCTGTTTTCCGTGTAGGGTTGTATAACAGGCTTCAGGAGAGCCCCCTGGGAAGGCCGAGAATGGCATCACCCTTATGTTGGGATGTTCCATAAGAAAATGCCTGCAGGTTCTCCTTATTGTCTCATGAAGCTGCTTAAGGCAGCCTGCCCTCTTTGCTTACGCCACTGGGTGATCCTACATCACATTCCCCTCTTTTTTCAATCTTCCTCACTGTCTTCTTCTTCTCCCCTTCTCCTTCTTTCCCCTTTCTCCTTCACTGTCTTTTCCAAACTCATACTGATCAGTCCCTTTATGCCACGGAGCTAGTACTACGCAATATATTTCGTTAGGACTGAAAACAGCACTGCACGTCAGGGTGAGAAAGCACAGACCAGAGCTACAGCTGAGTCCAGCTGTCCTCCACAAAACAACCTCTCTGACTGTATTCTTCAGCGGAGGCACCGAGTACCCTGCATGTGCCCTTACTTACCTTTGGATCAATAGTTCGTCTAAAGGTGTCTTGTCAGAGTTTACTGGGGAGGGCGATCCCTTATGAGGTAAAACGTTCAGAGGCTCTTTGACAGGCTCGTTGTTTTTGAGGGAACCTGTGACAGAAGAGAAAGCCGAGAAAGCGTTAAAACAGTTGTTTTCTTAAGGGTCATCTTTACTTTTACTATAGGTAGTTGTTTGCTTACACCGAAGACAAAAGGGAGACACAAAGATGTCTACATTTTATCCTGGATTTGCGAACGAGATTGTAGTGTCATCAGCTTGCATAGTGCAAGATTGTACAGCCTTTGTCACTGCTGCAAATGCAATCGAGAAGAGGTGAAGGTAGATATGCAATGTCAGTCCTTATGTAGGTGAGTAGCACTCTCACCACTGAAAACTTCATCCCAACTTCAGTTTTCTTTAAGCTGAAAAGGTTTCTTTTCATTCTTTAAGCAGAAAAGGTTTAGCTGCGTGTGCCTGTGCATGCCAATATTTGGTTTCCCAAGTCAGGGCTTCATTACTGCTCTGCACTGTGGTGCACAGTAGATGTTCAGTTTACTGGATAAATCAAGGCTAGATTTGGGTGAGACAGGAGCTTTACTTTTAATTGCTTCTCCAATTTCCCTCAGATGAACCTCTGATCCTTTCACAGGGAGCCAAAGTTGTATTAAGTCCATGGCTTACTACTGCAGTACTTGGCAGGAGAGGATGCATCTCACTTTTCAAATGAAACCTCCTGTTGTTTGAGGCCTGTTGATAAATGGCCTTGTTGTTTTTTATTAGAAATATTTTGTTCTAAGTCATAATTCTGTTTGCATTTCAAACTGGTGACAGCACAGGCAGGTCTATGCTCTGACTGAAGCTGCTTTCTGACGCACTCTTTTAATCAATGCTACGGATTTTCAGAGGGAAAGTGCAACCCAGACTTTTAAAACTCCCTAAAACACTGCCAAGGGCTTATGAAACACTAGTTTGAGTTATTCTCTTTGCCTTTTGAATAGTTTAAACATTTTATCCTTCTGTCAGAGGAGATTGCTTAAAGAAACAAACTCTTTTTTCTAGTTAAAGGAAAGCATCTATTATGTTTTACAGCTCCTAGGCTATAAGCCAAAGCTAGGCTGGTGCAAAGGGTGCCTATATAGAAGCCTTTCTCTCCGCTGGATTTACATTCTTTTGCATTATTTTTCTTGTTCTCATTTCTCAAGTCTCTTTTTTTTTTTCTCATTTTGTATCCTACTCTGTATTTTTCCCTATATCTTTCCCTCTCTGCCTTTCTTCTTTCCTTCCCCTCTCCTCCCCCCTTGTCATTCCCTAAGCAAAATGCGAGCAGGTTAACATTTGAGCTTGAGTCAGCCTCTTGGATAGCTGCTGTTCAAATGGGTTTGAAGGCAAGATAAAAAGAGCTCACCCATCCCTTGCTTCCATGCGCGTCAGCAAATGCTGTCAGAAGAAGTTCCTGCTATAAATGAGGCGTAGAAGCTGTCCAGATTTGGGGAGAGGGGATGGAATCAGTGGAGAAGAGGGAGAGGGTAGAAGAGCTGCTTATACAATCCTAGCTGAATTTAAAAGCTGTAGCTCTGAGCTGGACTTGCTACAGTCATACCGGAGAAAAGAGAGTTATTTTCTCCTAGCCCAGGTCTTGCTGTACAGACTGGAGAAAAAGAAACGCTGTTCCCAGTGTGTCCTGCTGAACAATTGCAGATACGGAAGAAAAAGCCCTGTTTGGAACAGGTCCCGTTTCAAGCAGTGGTAACACAGAGCAGGGGGTGCAGGAGGGAAGCACAGGTCAGCTTCTGCGGATGCTCCAGTGAGCTGCTAAGAGAGGAGCCCTTCTTCTAGCTTGTCCTTCCTCAATGCCACTGGCTAGACAGGAGGGATGTCCCCCTGTGCCGTTGTCCTGATGCTGTGATGCTGCAGATGTATGAAGAAGGTGCCTCCTCCTGTGCAGGTCCTGCTGCAGCAGGTGACAGTGGAGAGGGCCTCCTGGGCAGCAGTGTGGATGGGATGCTGTGACGTTCAGGGAGCAGGAGAGAGGTCTCTTCTGTGCTGGCTCTGCTGCAGGGCTCTGGGAAGGTGGTGAGAAGGACGGCTTTGCCCTGGTCCTGCAGGGTGGAGAACAGCTCTGCTCTGGCACAGACGACTCTCAGTTTATCCACAAACCTCATTGACAACAGTAGCAGAATATTAAACAGGAGTTCTTTGCTATGCTGCTGTCTGCTTGGAAACTTGGAGAAGGGAGGGAACTTTCCTTCTGTCCATGCCACAGGGTTGAATGGGCCTTTATACTGCTGAAATAGCGTGTCTCCCTTGACTAGGCAGGCAGGAGACACCTATTTTCTTGGGGACATTTCCCAGACCTCCTTTGTTTTTGGGGTGGAGGATGTCAGTTCTTTCTTTTCTTAGAGAACTTGGTCTGCTTTCAGGGGCTGAAGCTGTGTGCTTTGCTGCTGCATAACAAAGCAGTGGCTTTCAGGGGCTTGCATAGCATCCAAACACCAGGAGCAGCATTGTATGTCTTGACTCATGCAACTGGCCAAAGTTCAGAGTCCGGTGCGTTGTTTCTATTAGATTATAATCCGAAAATAGGATAGGTATCTTCACTGCAATTCCTTTTACTGCCAAGGAGTTATAAAATTCTGTTTCTCTGAACACGTGGGAGTTGAAGCAAAGGGCATTTTCTGTGTTCATAGTTCCAGGTCTCTCTCATTTAGCATTTAGATTCAAACCGCTACCATTTTTTTCTTGCAGCCCTGTTTCCAAGTGCTGCTGAGCGAGCGTCTGTATTTTTCCCTATATCTTTCCCTCTCTGCCTTTCTTCTTTCCTTCCCCTCTCCTCCCCCCTTGTCATTCCCTAAGCAAAATGCGAGCAGGTTAACATTTGAGCTTGAGTCAGCCTCTTGGATAGCTGCTGTTCAAATGGGTTTGAAGGCAAGATAAAAAGAGCTCACCCATCCCTTGCTTCCATGCGCGTCAGCAAATGCTGTCAGAAGAAGTTCCTGCTATAAATGAGGCGTAGAAGCTGTCCAGATTTGGGGAGAGGGGATGGAATCAGTGGAGAAGAGGGAGAGGGTAGAAGAGCTGCTTATACAATCCTAGCTGAATTTAAAAGCTGTAGCTCTGAGCTGGACTTGCTACAGTCATACCGGAGAAAAGAGAGTTATTTTCTCCTAGCCCAGGTCTTGCTGTACAGACTGGAGAAAAAGAAACGCTGTTCCCAGTGTGTCCTGCTGAACAATTGCAGATACGGAAGAAAAAGCCCTGTTTGGAACAGGTCCCGTTTCAAGCAGTGGTAACACAGAGCAGGGGGTGCAGGAGGGAAGCACAGGTCAGCTTCTGCGGATGCTCCAGTGAGCTGCTAAGAGAGGAGCCCTTCTTCTAGCTTGTCCTTCCTCAATGCCACTGGCTAGACAGGAGGGATGTCCCCCTGTGCCGTTGTCCTGATGCTGTGATGCTGCAGATGTATGAAGAAGGTGCCTCCTCCTGTGCAGGTCCTGCTGCAGCAGGTGACAGTGGAGAGGGCCTCCTGGGCAGCAGTGTGGATGGGATGCTGTGACGTTCAGGGAGCAGGAGAGAGGTCTCTTCTGTGCTGGCTCTGCTGCAGGGCTCTGGGAAGGTGGTGAGAAGGACGGCTTTGCCCTGGTCCTGCAGGGTGGAGAACAGCTCTGCTCTGGCACAGACGACTCTCAGTTTATCCACAAACCTCATTGACAACAGTAGCAGAATATTAAACAGGAGTTCTTTGCTATGCTGCTGTCTGCTTGGAAACTTGGAGAAGGGAGGGAACTTTCCTTCTGTCCATGCCACAGGGTTGAATGGGCCTTTATACTGCTGAAATAGCGTGTCTCCCTTGACTAGGCAGGCAGGAGACACCTATTTTCTTGGGGACATTTCCCAGACCTCCTTTGTTTTTGGGGTGGAGGATGTCAGTTCTTTCTTTTCTTAGAGAACTTGGTCTGCTTTCAGGGGCTGAAGCTGTGTGCTTTGCTGCTGCATAACAAAGCAGTGGCTTTCAGGGGCTTGCATAGCATCCAAACACCAGGAGCAGCATTGTATGTCTTGACTCATGCAACTGGCCAAAGTTCAGAGTCCGGTGCGTTGTTTCTATTAGATTATAATCCGAAAATAGGATAGGTATCTTCACTGCAATTCCTTTTACTGCCAAGGAGTTATAAAATTCTGTTTCTCTGAACACGTGGGAGTTGAAGCAAAGGGCATTTTCTGTGTTCATAGTTCCAGGTCTCTCTCATTTAGCATTTAGATTCAAACCGCTACCATTTTTTTCTTGCAGCCCTGTTTCCAAGTGCTGCTGAGCGAGCGCGTTGCGACAGCTCCTCTCCTGGCTCTCTTTTCAGCTTCTCATATCTTCATCTCGTTTCTTGCACGGAGAGCTAGCTGCTCAGACAAGGTGCCAGCTCCGTGAAAGCCTGGCCTTGCAGTCGTGCTCTGTGCTGTTCACACTTGGGGAAAGCCAACTTGTTCCATTTCTGCTGAAGCCGTGCCTGGGCGCGTGTGTGTTCTGGATGGTGTTCCTGATATTTCAGACTTCTAGTTCAAAGGGAGCTTAGGTGTTTCTTACAGCTTTATTCAGTGCAAGGTGGCAGTAACTGCATTTTCGGAGAAGTCTTGCTCCTCTCTCACAGTGGTCTGTTGCAATTTGCACAAGCTTGGTCCCTAAATGTTTTTGCCTTTTTCTCTCTGTGCTGTTCAGCTTGCCATACAGTTACTGGTGTAGATCTCACTAATTTTGAATATGTCCTTTCTCTATGCTAAAGAAGTTCCTACTTCTTTGACACTTCATGCCTTTCCCTGTTTAGATTATTTTTCTCTTAGAGAGCAGAGGGGCGGCAGAGTCCCACGTTGGTTCAGATTCTCCGCTATGAAGTGTGTTTAAACATCCAACCATTTAGCATTTCCAAGCTGAGCAAAGAAGAATGGCACCCCTGTGCCATGGGGCAGGGGTGTTCTGTAACATGCTGACCACTGAGCCTGCTTTCTACTTCCCCTGTCCCTTATCTAATCTCAGTGACTCCTACAGTTGCTCCTCTGACTGGAAAAGGAAGCATACCTCTGTTTGGGTCAGTACTCACCTGTAGCATGCCCCATGTGCATTGCCTCTCTCGAAGTCTTTCTTTTCCCTCTGCTTGGAAGTCTCATGGACCGGTAGTACTTGGAATTTCTTTGAATGGCAATGTAATGGGTGTGTGAGTCCCTCTCCTGGGCCACCGAGTTAGCATCTTCTGGCTCTTCCTCACCTTCAGAGACTGAGCCTGACTCTCTCGGTACCTGCTGAGAAAGGCCCTGCTGGAGATTGCCGGCGGCTTCACTCCCGTGCCCATCCATGGCTTCCAGATCTTGTCTCTATGGCAACTGAGAGGATGGATCCGCAGCAGAGCAGCAGAAGACAGGTAGCCTCCACAGCTCCATCAGCTTTATCTGAATTAGAACTGGAGACAGACAAACAAAAACCAACAAAATAGGAAAAGAGAGGATTAGTTCAGGTTAGTTCAGCGTCTACAGTGCATTATCCATTTAGGATACTGGGGACTTTCCAGGATTTTTTGTCTGAGATCATCACCTTACAAGCCCGTTTAGGATACTGGGACTTTCCAAGATTTTTGTCTGAGATCATCACCTTACAAGCCTTATTCTAACATCCTGAACATTGCTCTGACGTGCTCATGGTGGTCCTGCCATGACACGTTGTAGTGCTGCAGATGTTACTAGAAAAATGACTGTATTTGCTCATTTGATGACAGCTCCCTCTTGTCACTTGTGAGCAGTAGATTACTAGTTGATTTAGAATAGACACAGGTAATGACCGTGTCCTTGTTTTTGAGGCTGAAAACATTATGGAATAGAAAACAGAAGCTAAACAGAAAGCTCTGTTAATCTGTCTATTATTTGTGTACTTCCTCCTGTAATAGAAGAATTAATGCCTTTTACAGGGCTGGGTGCCTTCTAAAACTTATTAACAACACTCACTCCTGCGGTGCAGATAAGTGAAGAGAAATCCATAGCTGTTGAGAAGTGAAGGTAGAAGAGACATGATTATGTAGCAATGGAGAGCTCAGGGACTTAATTTTGTTTCCTGGAGTTGCCTTCAAGGGCCAGTGTGTCCCCTATGTGACCCACTGCTCCGTGTGTGGGTACAGGGACTCTGCCAGCACTCCCAGACATCTTCTTAGGAGGCCAATTACTACAAAGGCAAAGCAGCAGTTGATCCTTCAGCCTTTGCAAAGCTGGGTTAAATGTGAACCGATGACTTAAGCGTTCGCTGCTGCCTTTGTCTTCTTGAATTCTTACAGCTGTCAAAGCCTTTCTAAGTACATAACGTGATTCTGTGACTGACGGGGCTCACATGAACAGTAGAAAGAGATGCTGTATAGGAAATGTGAATATAAAATTGACAGTTTGCTGAGAGAAGGGCATAAAATAGTGCTATGGATTAGTCATTAGATGCTGTTTTGAGAAGTTACACGTATCACTGGTTTGTTGCATTACAGTATATCCAATATATAAGATACAAGGTAAGCTTCTCGATTTTTGTTCTTCTGCAACCTCTATGAACCCATCTGTGCCACAAACCTTTTCCTTGCTTGCCCCCATGGTCACTCCAGCTGACCCTGGGTCTTCTGAAACCTCTATGAACCCATCTGTGCCACAAACCTTTTCCTTGCTTGCCCCCATGGTCACTCCAGCTGACCCTGGGACATCAGGGACAGTTGAGACATCATCTGTGAATCCTCTGCTTTCCAAAATTTTTGAGGGCTTTATGTTTTATCCTTATAAAGGGAGGGTCGCTACCTGAAATCCTGTGCTGGGCCTGAGTCGTTCTGCTTCCTGGCTCTACAGATGAGAAGTTCTGCTTTCTCCTTTCATAACCTTAACCACAGCACGCAGCTCAGACCTGTTAAATTTGGATCCTGACTTCAATTCTGCCAAGACTTCTGGACTGTTTGGAACTGGTGGTTTCTCTGGGATGGTTTCCAGTGTTACTGGAAGTGTATGAAGGACCCATTTGTTGGTTGTGGTGTTAAGTTTGGTTTGTAAATTACTCTGAGGTATAGAGATTCACTAAGCCTCTTTCTGTTTCTGTGGCTCACTGGAACAGCAAAATAAAAACGGCTGCTGCTGGAGACAGCTTGAAAAGAAAGAAGAGGACATTTCTTTTCCTGCACCTTTCTTACTGTCCCATGACTAAAGCCCCAAAGGCTTGATCCTTGCACATGTGATGGAAGCATTTTTGTTAACTGGACCACAATTAACATTACACCTCTAATCCTTCCTAACCCTAAACTCTAACAATTGCTTATTTTTTGCTGCCTCTATAAACTTTTTTATGCCTTGCCGCTCGAGGAGATGAACCTGTAACAATCTCCTCTATATCAAAGTTCCTCTGTGCTTCGAGTGGCCACCCCTTGTCCATGTTACTCAGACTGGGGCAGAGACCTGCCTCTCTTTTGTGGACTTTGCAATGTCAACAATGGTTTGCAATGCGGAGCAAAATGCTGTTGGTGTTTTCTTAAAAAATACGTTAAATTTTTCAGAGGAGCTGCTCACCAGTCAGGAGTAATTTCAAAACCATGTAAAGGTCCAAAAGAATCATTAGCCAAATAGCTGGGGTGCGTGTGTACACGGAAAAGACTATTTTCCCCTTTCACTTACCTGGTGAATATGAAAGTACGTGGATGTCCCTGTTGGGCTTTTACAAAGATACTTGATAGAGAAGGAGCCTTCTGCATGAAGAAGCTGCATGAGAAACTCACTCAGCTGGGTTGCCCAAGGATGCTGAGAGAAACTCACTCAGCTGGGTTGCCCAAGGATGTAACTATGTGTTCAGTAGCCCTATCAAACCAGCATTGTTGTCTTTGCCAGATACTCTTTTTTTGGTCCATCAGAGGAACACAGGGTGTCCATGCTAAACAGTCAGCTTGCTGCCAGACTACCAAACAGTCCTTAACAAACAAGATGTTTGATGAGAAGTGAATATGGCAGTGGCTTAGAGAAAGACTTCCATAGTTTCCAGGAGGGGCAAGGGTGAGGGGACACTTGTTTATTATGGTGGTTATAAAAAAAATATTTTTTTTTACTTTTTTAATGAACAATTCAAGAACAGAATGTCTTTCTGAAGGCCAATTCCAAAACTGATACTCTAAGAAATTATTGAGAAACAATTTACTGATGTGTCAGTCAAAGAGTCCTGGCTTTTGCAGTTGCTTTAGGTGTACTAAAAACCAGGGATGAGTTTCAAGGATACATTCACATTTGGTATTACATGATCCTGGTTGCAGTCAAGCTACTAGGGATGAGTTTCAAGGATATATTCACATTTAGTATTACATTGTTCTGGTTGCAGTCAAGCTACCAGTGATGGAGAATGAATGATTCAAGCGGGTGTGGACCATAACTATCCCTGTCTGAGTGATTGTAGTGAATTTTTGAAGAAGATATTCACCTCTGATAGTCAGAGGTAGGCGAGTGTCAGGTCTTGCATCAGGGGTAACCCATCCCCAGTATATTCACATGCCATCTGAGATCACCTGTCTGGTTGCAGCGTCACCACCTACCTGAATGTGCTTTGCAGGCAAACATACTTCCCCGTAGTTCAAGAAGACCAAAGGAGCAGTCTGTAGGGAAAAAGAGGAAGGTGACAACAGTAAAACCAGCAAGTGATGCCCATACAGCAGCAGCAGAGATAGGCATTTTGACTCACACATAATTCAGCCTCCAGGAATTTGACTGTATAGAAATTTTACTTTCCAATGTAAAAAAAATGTGATTTACCAGCAAATGCCATTAAGCTGTACAAGAGCAGTTGAACTTGGGGATGCCAGGTAAAATGCTAATAGGAATTTTAAAAGAGACCAATTTTCCTTGTGCAGTGTGGACCTGGATGTGTGGATGTGTTGTGAGAAGCAGGGACTCATGCTTAATGATTTGCAAATGAAAAATGCTCAATTTGCCAATTTTATGCAGTGCTATTGGTCTAGTCTGGAAGGGTAATGAAGGTTGCTTAATTAATATCAGGAAGAGTGTGGCCAGCAGGTGGAGAGAGGTCATCCTCCCCCTCTACTCTGCCCTGGTGAGGCACCATCTGGAGCACCGGGTCCAGTTCTGGGCTCCCCAGTTCAAGAAGGACAGGGAACTGCTGGAGAGGGGACAGCAGAGGGCTACAAAGATGATGAGGGACCTGGAGCATCTCTCTGATGAGGAGAGGCTGAGGGACTTGGGTCTTTTTAGTCTGGAGAAAAGAAGATTGAGGGGGGATCTGATCAACGCCTACAAATCCTTAAAGGGCAGGTGTCAGGAGGATGGGGCCAGTCTTTTTTCAGTGGTGCCCACTGACAGGACAAGAGGGAACAGGCACAAACTTGTACATAAGAAGTTCCATCTAAACAAATGCCATTAAGTTGTACAAGAGCAGTTGAACTTGGGGATGCCAGGTAAAATGCTAATAGGAATTTTAAAAGAGACCAACGTTCCTTGAGCAGTGTGGACCTGGATGCGTGGATGCGTGTGAGAAGCAGGGACTCATGCTTAATGATTTTTTCCTTGTGCAGTGTGGACCTGGATGTGTGGATGTGTTGTGAGAAGCAGGGACTCATGCTTAATGATTTGCAAATGAAAAATGCTCAATTTGCCAATGTTATGCAGTGCTATTGGTCTAGTCTGGAAGGGTAATGAAGGTTGCTTAATTAATATCAGGAAGAGTGTGGCCAGCAGGTGGAGAGAGGTCATCCTCCCCCTCTGCTCTGCCCTGGCGAGGCCCCATCTGGAGCACTGGGTCCAGTTCTGGGCTCCCCAGTTCAAGAAGGACAGGGAACTGCTGGAGAGGGGACAGCAGAGGGCTACAAAGATGATGAGGGACCTGGAGCATCTCTCTGATGAGGAGAGGCTGAGGGACTTGGGTCTTTTTAGTCTGGAGAAAAGAAGATTGAGGGGGGATCTGATCAATGCCTACAAATCCTTAAAGGGCAGGTGTCAGGAGGATGGGGACAGTCTTTTTTCAGTGATGCCCACTGACAGGACAAGAGGGAACAGGCACAAACTTGTACATAAGAAGTTCCATCTAAACATGAGGAGGAACCTCTTTCCTTTGAGGGTGGCAGAGCCCTGGAAGAGGCTGCCCAGGGAGGTGGTGGAGTCTCCTTCTCTGGAGACATTCCAAACCTGCCTGGACACGTTCCTGTGCAATCTGCTTTAGGTGGACCTGCTCTGGCAGGGGGTTAGACTAGATGATCTCCAGAGGTCCCTTCTAACCCCGTATCATTCTGTGATTCTGTGATTAGAGAGAGGCTGAAATCTCCACCTGTGCAACTCGGGGATGTTTCAAAGCAGGAAATAATAGGTATGAATACAACTTGACTGTATGGTTGTTCCATATGGGGCACAGAGTCACAGAAGACGAATTGCCCTTGTCTGATTGTATAACGTGTCCCTGCCACCACCAGGGACAAGGTAACAGTATTGATGTGCCTGAGTGGCTGCAGAAGATACGTGGGGATTGTGTCCCACCAGCAGAGGGGCAGGTGCTTTCAGCATGGAGAGCAGTGAACCTCTGCACTGAGCTATCTTGCGGTGTGGCAGTTCTGCCATCACCTTAAATCATAGAATCATAGAATGGTTTGGGTTGGAAGAGACCTCAAAGATCATCGAGTTCCAACCCCCCTGCCATGGGCAGGGACACCTCCCACTAGAGCAGGTTGCTCAAAGCCCCATCCAGCCCCTAATCCATCCATGACTGGATGCCCCTTTAAATTAGCTCAATGCCAAATCCATCCGTGACTGGATGCCCCTTTAAATTAGCTCAATGGAAAGTTTTGGGGCTCAATGCAGAAATTGCTGTCTTGGCTACAGGGTTTTTATGCTGTAGAAAGGCAGAAGGTCATATCATGTTTTCATTCTTTTTGCGTGTTGGAAGTTTTTCCAAGTATAAGCCCTATTAATGACTCATCTGGAAGGTTTTGCACACTGAATGTAGGGATGCACCTTTCATGTATATTTGATGAACCAGATGGAGCCTCTTTTAAAGCAAGAATTTTCTCTTCAAGCCCTCATAGTTAACATGCCTTCTTTAATATTTCTTCCTTAAACACAATCCGAATGCACATGCAAAACGCCAATTTTGCTGCATCTTATCAGTTTCTATCTAAAATGCTTTAATTATTTTGCAAGTCTTGTGCAAACTGAAAACAAACCTCTGCCTCCCACCACCATCAGTCCCCCATTACATCCCTGCTCACGTATTAAGCACTGATTTATATTTCCCCCCCCCCCCCCCCCCCCCCCTTCCTCGGGTTTAAGCGGAGCAGATTGTCATCTCTAAATCATTTCTCTCTGCATCGTAATGAGAGGAGAACAGCTCCTACAGGGATGGGGCAGAGTCCGAAATCCAGCAGGAGGCTTTACTCATCGGCAGCCGCCGCGGCTCACGTGGGTGCCGATCCCTTAAGGAGTGCCACACAGCTGAAGGCGCTGGGGCTCCGCACAGGCTCTGGCCTGCCTTTGCATGGGGAGATATTTCTGTCTGAGTCAGGGGAATAGTAACACCCACAGCCTCAGCCCCGGGCTCTGGCAGATTTAGCTCTCGGCAGATGTAGCTGGGAATTCATTTAGCCTCATCGGTGGTTTCAGCTAATGCGGAGACTTTAAGCTGCTGTGAGACACTCTCCTGTGTCCCCTTGAGTCATCCCTGCTTCAGGGGGACTACCTTCCAGCAGAAGGATGGGCATGGTAACACCTTAACCTAAAGTCCTCAGGCCCCCAAGCTGCCTAACTATACCCATATTTATGTTTTCATTGTCACTGCTGGAATAACCCTCCTCGGAAGTGTTAACAATCCCAACCCTTTCTTTTAGGTGGTGGCAAAAGACAGTTGAGCACATGTCCCTGTCCAAAGCAATGCACATGACATTTCACAAAGGAATTTGAACTATCTAGGTGCAAGGCCAAAGTATTATTTGATTAAGGCACAGGGGTGGAGAGAAACAGGAGGAGCAGATTGCCCAGAGGGTGAGACACAGTCCAAAGAGGTTCACAGCAGAAACCAGGAAAAGTAGGCGATTTATTTGGAGATGCTGCCTGAAAGAATATCAAATTGTTTGACCCCACATGTTTCCAGAAAATAAACATTTTTTACTTATTTTGTAAATAAGATTGAGTTCTATCACCAGTTCTAACAGAATCAAACTACAACCACTCCAATTTTGAGGTAGTCTTTCAGGTGAGAAAGGTAACGGAATGGTTTTATTGCTGTGATTTAATAATGGTACCTTATTTATAGCACGCAAAACCAAGAAGAATTATGCAGTTCATTACACGCTTGTGGCAATAAAACCTTTATGTCTTGCACATATGTTACAGAGAACCTGTTTTAGAAACACTTCAGAGACTAAAAATAAATACATTGGATCCGTTTAACATAGCCTCCACAGCCATGTGCTTTAGATACCATGAGACCAAGTGAACGGGGCTTGCAGAGAGAAACCAGTACATTTAAAATGGCTAAAAATGACTCAAATGGCCTTGCTAGTTCTAAAAATGTTTCCAGAATTAAGTGCGGTGTCGTGGGACCTTCTATGGGTAGAGGTAAGCATACGTGTGTAAACATAGGCACAAAATAAGTGTGTCCTATAAATATAAATGGTTACTTACACATAACAGAGAAGAAGGATACATGCCTTCATGCAATTCCCTCTGCATCAAACATGGAGTATTTATAGCAGCCACTTTGTGTTAATTAACCTACTTACACATAACAGAGAAGGATACATGCCTTCACGCAATTCCCTCTGCATCAAACATGGAATATTTATAGCAGCCACTTTGTGTTAATTAACTAATACATATCAATATATACTTAATGAATAACAGTAAATAACTGCGTATCTTTCTGCTGCCAGCATGAATTATCTTTTTGACTGTTTATGACTTTTTATGATTCAAAAACGATAATTAAAATGATGTGCTTTCTTGTATGCCACTAATAATTGTCATCTCAGCTCAATCCATGCATCTCAGAGTAGTCTAGCCCTATCTCATTGCATTCCATGCTTCATCCCCCGGGTCTCGTGCAGTAGACACAGCTATGGGCTATAGCAAAGATGTTAAAGAATTCCCCCTCTGGAGCTGTTCTACATATATGTGTAGGTACACATATATATGCATATATAAACACACAGGCTCTCCAGCTGTGTAGGAGTCAACCTAATTTTTAAAGCCTACAGAAGAGCAGAAGTGGAAATCTACAAGCCCTTCTGGTTTTCATTATAAGCTCTTAAAACTAATTAAACAAAAAACCTGACCTTATTTTTATTCCTTTCCTTAAATTAGCACATGTGCAATGGTGAAAGTAAATCCTTGCTTGAAGCTTTTGAGAGTCTTAAGGAGTAAAATGTCTAAAACTCATCCTGTTCCTCTGACATCACTGACATCTCTCTCTATACTAACAAGAACTCCTGCCTCTAGAGGAAGCCCCCTTTTCTTTTTCTTGCCGATTATGAAATATTGTTGCCCCCGATGCCATCCCATTCCATATTTCTGCTTAGAGGATACTAGTGAAATTGTTGCTAAGTAGCTGTGGTCCAAAACTCATGAGGTTTTCCAGGCTTATCCCTGGAAGGTAAGTGAATAATTAAAACCCAAATCACTGTGTCTCCCAGGCTGGGGGCAGTACAAGACTACCAGCTCAGGGCTAGGGGCAAATCACAGGATGTAGCCTCAAGTTGTAAGATACCAGTGTATGATGTGAGTACCCAGGAAATCCCTCAGCATTCTGCCTGGCCATTGCTCCTGTTTTACAGGGTGGCACATAGGAGCTGTGAGTCCTTGTCCCTTTTTGTTTGTTCTCTTCTCTTTGGACCACGTCATGCCTTTTAGTCGTGGGAAGAGTATACAACATAAAGCTGACACTTAAAAAAATTAAAGGACTCAGGTATAGAAAGTTTAGTCTGCAATGAAATGGCTTAGTCAATAAGATGGTACGACAAATAATGTCCTGGGTGAAATAATGCCCTTGCTGAAAGCAGGGAGGTTTGGCAATGCCAGGATACTGATAGGAAGAGGTTAGCAGATGTCGTGGTTGGAAGATTTTTCAAGGCAGCACGTTACTAAGCAGGCAGCCCCGGTGTCCCCAGGGCAGACATCACCTGTGCCACTCTTGGGGAAAAGTATAATGATACCCACTTCTATTTCCAGATTTGCTGGTTGCATGAGACACTTCCTATGGAAGAAATGAGCACGGGTGGTTATTTGAACTGCAGAGAGGTAAGAACTCAAAGGGGTTTTGATTTGAAAGCTTCCATACAGAAGCGGGGAAAGAAGAAGGATGATTTTGTTGATGAAGGAATAGTAGAGCTCTTAGTTTTTCCTCCCTCGTGGTTGTTGGGTGGAGGGTCCAAGGGGTGCCTGTTTGGTGCATCTGCTTGCAAATTTGTAGCTGCAAGGGAGCCAGAAGTCAGTAAGACATCAGAATCTTGTCAGAGTGGTTTCTACTGGTGTGAAATGCCAGGCAGGTTCAGAGTGCTGCTGTGCCAGTCTATCCTTGTCAACTGCATCGAGCTAATTTCAGCTAATTTCAAACCTGACATAAACTGCTATTATTCTTCTAGCCTGTTACACTGATTGCACGTGTCTTTAGTAACTCAGGAAAAATACTTGACAGACAACTCTGGAAATGGTGCAGCAAACAGCATCAGTCATGCAAACCTCCCCGTTCCAGAAGGGTTCTTTCTAGCCCTGGGGGAGGACCCTGGCAGGAAGGGAAGCTCACAGGACTACAGCTCCCATTGCAGAGCAGCCCCTTCTGTCCTGGGGCTGAGGGACTAGCCCAGGGCTTAGGCTCTCACATCCAGAAGCCCCACCACCACTACCACTTGCCTACAGTTTGCCAGCTACAGCACTGGATGGTGTTACACCGCGCAAGTAAGAGCACGTGTGCAGTGCTCTCTGCCTGCATGAGCATCCACATTATTTTTTTTTGGCAAACAAGCAACGTGATCTCCTCAACCGTAACCCTGAAGCTCACTCTGCCCACGTGCCGTGAAAGATTGGCAAAGCTTTCCCTTTCAGACCTTTCCTTCTGACAGCAGTTGTTACCCTCCTCCTTCCTCCCCAGTTTTTCAGCATGGAAAGAGGAAGGCTGGGATGTGGGTAGTGGATCTCATGGCTGTGGCACAGAATTGGGTCCTGTGAGAGCAGATTTCATTTCTCAGCCCTGCAGCAGTTCCCTGTGCAATTTTGAGCACATGAGGGATTTTATTTTCCTGGATCTTAGTTCCCCATCTCTAGACTGGGAGTGGCATACTATAGTTTCTGAATACTCTTATATTTCTCCCATAGTTTTTATTCTGAGTTACTTGAGTAGGAACTCAGCGTAAGTACAAGAGCATGACATGAGACAGGCTCCAAAGAGCTCTGGACAATACTATAATTAAAGAAAAAAAAATGAACCAGTTTGGGTATTCTCTTTTTTGGTTATTTTTCATTTGATATTTCCTACATTTCTGTCCCCAAGTGAAAAGTAGGCATTTTGTCTAGATTTCTAAATCCCTGGTGTCCCTATTACTCATCCTGGGTTTTATTTGAGCTGGTTGCGGTTTCTCCTAAGAAGAGGTCATTGTTTCAGGGATTCCTCCCTTTTGGAACAGCAAAGTCCAAATTTTGCAGATTGAGTAACCTGCTAGACCTGTTTTTTCATAGACATCTCTTTCAAAGATGATTTTGGCTAGGAAAGAGGAGGCAGGGAGGAGACGAGGTTTCCAGATTGTTTTAGGTTTTAGTGAGTCTGGTCAGTTTTTCTTATTTTAGATCTAATGGGGCTGCTTCCATGGGGAGCTGCTTGGAAACATGAAACATTGCCTCCAGGCACTATTGTGGGGAAAATGATAATTGCCTATAGAAATCACAGAACAAGCTACTTCCAAAAGGAGAATTTGAGTGAAAACCCAAGGCATTGGGCACATACTCAGATAATGGTAATTATATAGTTAAAGCATTTTACATTGTCTTGCAAATGTCCTCTCCAAATTATGGCAATGTGGGACAATGGGTTCTTTGTCCCTGGGCTCTTCTTTCCTGGCAATTACTATGGCATTTCACACATACTCCAATATTTACAGTTGATCTTGAAGTGGATGGGTTTATCAGTCCCAATTTGAGTCTGGAGAAAATTAGACCTGAATAAAATTTCTGTCCCTCTCTTAAAATGAATGCCAGCCAATTAGTCCTTTTTTGCAGGTTCAGCAAAATGTTTTGATTTTTTTTTGTTGTTGTTGTTATTTTAGTGCAATTTCCTACTGTCAACTAGATCTGGAAGTGGCAGCTCTACTATAACAGTTGAATCCGTCAGTACTTTAATATCTCAAGCATTAGCTTGATCTTATGAAATCTGAGTCCCTGTTTATTTGGACATTTAAAAATATACCTAATTGCTGGGACGGAGTTCACAGCTACGCTGGATACACAGCAATTGGTCTCCTGAGAACGAAAGGAAAGATTGGCTAAAGGGAAGGATCAGCCTGGCATTAGGAGGAAAACAGGCTGTTTTTCATATTTCCTGTCTTTATTTTATTTATGTATTTTTTTTTTTAAAGCAAGATCACACGTAAACATTTGCCAGGAAAAAATCACAACTTGTCCTGCCCTTGGAAAAAGACACACAGTTTGGTTGGTTGGTCGGTTGGTTTTGGGGGCTGTCTGCTGTTTAGTTTGTGACATTAATGCCCGCTCTGTGCAGGCTGGGTCTCCTCTCGGACGAGGCTTCCTCCCTGCGGTGGCTTTCATGCCTGTCAAGCTGTGCCAAGGTGCCTCTCCTCTCCCTCAGCCAGCATTTCAACGGCTGTGCTCCGGCTGGGTCGCACAGGACTCCTTCAGTGTGACTTTGCTTGTACAGCAAAGTCAGTTCTTTGTGGGGCACTGGGTTTGTGCCTTTGTTTGTGGTTTGAGGTTTCTTCCCCAGACCGTTCCTCTTCCAGCATCTCCCCGCCCTGCCCCAGAACAGGATTTTACTCACCTGACAGTCTGGGGCTGAACCAGTCTCTCCTTTGCCATCGGGATGAGGTTATGTCCAACAAATCCGGATTGAACTCAAAATGGTTCAAGATTTGCAATTCAGTTGTGAATCCTGAGGCAGGTATGTCCTACTGAAGATCCCTGTCCTTCGGTCCTCGTACCTTCTGTCACTTCTGCTTGAGAGTGAAGTTTCCCCTCAGACTTTGTTTGCTCAGTTTCCAGAGTCACAGCAAACATAATTTAAAGGAACAGCTTTCCCTTTACCGAGATAAGTTAGTACAAACATGCCCTGAATGTCCTTTGCACTGCTTGTGCCAAAGGCTTAATCACAGGGCATTGTTAAACCTACCGTATAAATCTTTAACAACTGGGTGAAACTTCGGTCCAAATCAGCAAACGCAAATAAGTGGAAACAGTAAATGGTATTTGCTTACACTTTTAAGGCCCACTGGCTGAGAAGCTGCTCTTGCTTTACATTACTTACAGCCATTTGAGATGAAAAGACCTAAATGTTTAGGACTATTTTTAGGTTGCCGTTTTTTAATTTCCTGTGAGTTCACATACCTGGGCACCGGGGTGGATATAGCTGAGACAGCCTCGTTTTATTTTAAGGCTTTTTGGATCCGTTCATCCAAACGCCTGTTATAAATTTCTCCCTTGAAATACTTCAATTTTTTATTTCAGGTGGTGCTTACGTTTGCTCTTCTCTCCACTGGGCTCACCTGCTATTATTTGCATGTCCCTCTTCCGCTTAGGGCCCAGCGCTTCAAAGGAAGCCAAATAAGCCTGTAATTCCTGTAGATCCCTAGGAGAGAAGTTCTCCCTCATCCTTGGGTAATGCACTTGGTATTTTGAACGTCTCTTACAAAAAGCATCTGCTGAATTTGATCATAGTCTTTCCTTTGATTTTCCTTTTTTCTTTCTTTCTTTCTTTTTGAAGTTCACCGAACTTGTCAAGTGCCTTCTTCATCTCAAAGTATTTTAATTGGTCACAACATTACCCTGCTCCTTTTAAAGTGCAGCTGGATGCCCAGCCTACTCCGTGGAAGGCCAAATGTTCATTGAGTAAAGCTTTGGTTAGTCTGCGGTCAGACATCGCAGCTTCACGGTCACTAGTGTCAGGGTCCCTTTACATCAGCTGAGAGCCTGACCTGGCCATAGAAACCTGTCAGCAATTAATCCTGTAATGATTAATCAAGGTCACCGTCAGACCTGCGCCCTCCTGCTCTGTGAGCTCGCAGGACACGGGAGTGAGGGATGTGCTGGAATTTGGGCTCCCCTCTGTCGCAAGAGTCCCTCCAGGGTGAATCTGGCCAGCCCTGTGCTTCAGCCTTGCTTATCTGAGTGTCCCAGCTCTGGCAGCAAAGGGACTCCGGTTTTATTGCATTTTCCAGTCATTAAATAGCTCCAGTGACTCCTTCCCAGAGTTGCTATTTTGAGGGCTAAATAAATCCTGCTTTTCTACCCCATTTCTGCATGTAAATCTCACCACCTCTCTTCCTTTTCCTCCCATAGATTGTGCCATTCCTCTTGTTACAAAAATAAAGTATATAGATTTTTTTTTTCCTGTTCCAAATGGGCAAAGTACATGGAAAAACGGTATAATGTGTATCATAGGCAGGCTGTTTATGGGATGTTGTCTGTCTCAGAGTAAGGAAGCTTCCCTGTGACAAACCCACAGCTCACCGTGGAGTGTCAGAAGGCTTACAGGTCTGCTGTGGGGTGATGCTGTTGCCCTTTGGGTTGAGGAGTATTTTTTGGATTTTGGCCAGTTCTTTCCACAAGGAGAGGAAATAAGTTGTAAAAGGCTATTATTTACTGGGAAAGAAACACTGGCATACAATTCTTTGCTTACTCCTCTTGATGGAAATCAAAAGTAACTTAACTGGAGCCAATGGGGTGTGAAATGGTAGGAACCCAAAGAGTACCTGCTCCTCATACCTGTTGCTCTTACACCTGATGAGGATTATGAGGTGCCGGTTTCAAACGTGCACAAAGGCTCATTTCCTTAACTAGAATTGGAATTAAAAGAAAACAGCAGACGTTTCCTTGTCCTGCAAACCCCATTTCCCAAAGACCTCTGCCCTTAGAATTTGCATGTTACATTCAGTATTATTATTACTTTGGCTTTTTCTTGTTTTGGGGTGGGTTTTTTTTTTCTTTCCCCCTGACAGAATAGACTTTCTATTCAGACCCCAGGTCTACAGGATTTATGTTCTGCAGAAATGATACCATATTCCCACATGTCTGGAGAGCAGCCCTGAGTGTTTTAACTGAAAATTTGCAAAACGGTGTAATTGCTGTCTCGCATGGCCTGACTCTGTAGAAGACCTCTTGATTTTAACCACAATTGCTTGACAACAGCTGCTACACTGTATAGCATAGCAAAAATATGGAATTAGCTGAGCCAGGCTTGCGAATAGAATAGAATAGAATAGAATAGAATAGGTTGGAAGGGCCTTTAAGATCATCTAGTCCAACCATCAACCTAACCCCGATAAAAGCCCATCACTAAACCATGTCTCTAAGCACTATGTCAACTTGTCTTTTAAATACCTCCAGGGATGGTGCCTCAACCACTTCCCTGGGCAGCCCATTCCAAGGCTTAATAACCCTTTCCATGTCAAAATTTTTCCTAATCTCCAATCTGAACCTCCCCTGGTGCAACTTGAGGCCATTTCCTCTTGTCCCATCACCTGTGACTTGGGAGAAGAGACCGACCCCCCCTGGCTACCCCCTCCTTTCAGGGAGTTGTAGAGAGTGAGAAGGTCTCCCCTCAGCCTCCTCTTCTCCAGGCTGAACACCCCCAGCTCCCTCAGCCTCTCCTCACAAGACTTGTTCTCCAGACCCCTCACCAATAGTTTAAAGAATCAGTGGATTCAGGTTTGAATGTTTTTCAAGGAAAGTACACATTGATAATTTTTAATGGACTAGGTCTCACTCATTAAATGTGACCTCTCTTGTTTTCCTACTGATTTCTTTTCACAGATGCTCACGAGCATGAGCTTCTCAAGTCTTTTTCTTAGCCTTCATTTGCAGCTATTGCTATATCTTTCCTAAGAGGTGGCACCCGAAATTGAACGCGGCCCTCCAAATGCAAATGCTCCATTGTTCGGTATTCTGTCGTTATATTATCTCCTGCATTATTTTTATATCCTCTTATTAATGCACCCACACACCCCATTTGCATTTTTTAACCTTTTTAAAAATGCTTTCATTACAACAATCAGATATAAGGGCAATGAAGTAAGTGTGGAACAATAGAAGCGAAGAACTTGATTCTCCTCAGACCTATACCCGTTTTAAACTTCACTGGTGACACTGATTTTGATTTACACCACAGGGAAAGGGAAGGGGAGGGGGGAGGAAATCAAACCCAGCACATCTACACCGAAGCATCCATTTTTTTTTATAGTTAGCAAGGAATGGTTTTGTGAAATAGCTGCGGCGCACAACCTGTTGTTTGGCTGCAGAGGATGGTGGGGACCTCGCTCGGGGAGGAAGGGGAGCTGGGTGACAGGAGGTGGCCAGATGCACGGCCTCTGTAGAGCAGGGAACCGTTGCCACCACAGGAAGCCACATTTGGGACTTCCCACTCTTCAGAAGAGAGGGACAAGCAGTTTTAAGCTGCAGCTGGGCAAGGTGATTTCTATTAAACAGACGAGCGTTTGTTGGTTGTCTGGCTGCAGGGGTGAGTTGTGTGACTCAGAGCACCACCTCAGTCACGGCGCTGTGAGCCAGGGAGCAGAAAAAAGGTGAAGAAAGCCACAAAGCAATCATTCATGTCTGGCTTTCTGGCAAGACCGTACCTTCGCAGCCTCTTCAGTGTCTTTCTCCCTTCCTTAATTGCTTCTGTTTTCTTGATTCTGGATTTTCTCCAGGAGTCACTGCTAAAAGTTGTTATCTGGTGGATATTAATGTCATTGTCTCTGGAGGGACTTTTCCTCCCGTTGACTATTGTTTGGTTCCAGGTGAAACACTGAGATACAAATGCCCTGGGGCTTCTCCCGTGTGTCTCGGTTGAGGCCATACTTCACTTGCCCAGTGAGGCACGGTTTGGTAAACACGGGGTGTGGTTTTACACTACGGCTAATTGGATCTAATGGCCACTTGCCAGTCTTGGAGAGGTGAGGCTGCTCCTCCTGTCAACAGCTTCGTGCTCCTACTCCCTCTCCTGCTGCAGATCCTGCTGCTTGTCTGACTTCTGCTGACGCAGTCCAGGACCGTGACCTAGCAGAAAACTCTTTTTTTTCTCCCTTCCTTTTTTTTTTTTTTCTTGTGGATTAGTTTTCTGCCAGACTGACATCCTCTGATGGCTTGCCAAGGTAAGATGAGCATCAGTGCTGGCACAAGAAGCGATACAGGGTTGCTCAAGAGAGAGGAAAGATAGTAATACAGAAGCATTACATTAATTCGCTTGGTTGATTGTAAATCCACAGCTTTGCAACTCCCTGTTTGGCTTGCAGAAATCAACCACAGCTGCCATCCAATGAGGAGACTTTTCTTCCTCCTTTTTCATTGCTAGCAAGATCTGGTTGCAGGATTGTTATTTTAATTTTTTCAGATCATTTCAAAGACAAGAAGCATTAATGGCAGCGATGGAAACCCTGTAGAGAAGAGGGGAAAGCAGGAGAAAGAGCAAGGAAAGGGGATAGGAGAGGTCATTTCTGCCAGCAGCAGTGCCACATTAGACCATTAGCACAAGGTAGTTGTGAAATAATTAGCTTGGGTACTCCCAGCAGCTGCAGGTGCTGCTTCTGAGCCAGCCAGGGCACAGATGGGAGAAGGGATGATGGTGCCGTCCTCTTCTTCCTCAGCTGGGACCCTGGGCTCATCCTCTCCCTACGAGCTCATTGCCTGCAGCTGCTGGGATGGTTTGGCCTCAGTAACACTTCCACAGCAGCTGCTGGGAGCCACATGTGCCTGCACCAGTGGGTCATTCCTGTATCCCTGCCAGGGGATGCCTGGGTTAACCCATTCCTTCATCCAGAAGAAGCACACTGATGGCTGGGAGAGGTGGGTGCAGCCAGCAGAGCAATGTATCAGACTGTCACAGCACTGTCACTTGCTGGCTATAACCATTTTCTGGGTTCTTTTGGCCAATTTTCTAATTTCTAACCTGGGCTCAGGAGCGCTCCAAGAGGAAGTGCTGGGAGTCTGTGTGCTGGGACCAGAGGAACGTTCCTCTCCTCAGCACGAGGGGATGAGAGGACCAA